TAGAGCATGGGAAGCTGAAAAGTCCTTGGCTAGTGTAAGCATTACCTAGCAACAACTAAAACATCGGTGCGTTATCAACTTTGTTCTCATCCTAAATCCAAAACACTGTACCAGCTACTAGGAAGGAAATTAACTCTGTTGTTGACATGGAGGTTTACAATGGCTTTCAGGCAGCTTGATATGGTAGAAACTCATAAAGGAAGGGCAAATATAGTATTACATTTTCTAGTTTGAACTGTGTATTTTTATATAGTCTTGCTTTGTAAAAAGTGAAGAATGATTACATTTCGTCAAGGTATAGTACGGGCTTAAGGCTAGTAATCTTAGATTATAAACTTACATAGCTTGCAAAATTTCTGATGTGCTCTGACAAACTTGCTCTGCCTTGCATTCGTGACAAAACTCTTGTGGAGGTGGTTGTCAGTAACCGCCTGGTATGACACATGCTTATAGCAACTGGACATAAGTGGTGGCAGGTAAACGTGATATGTAACGCTATCAGTCAGTACTGCAGCAGGTTGCAATGAAACAATGAGGGCCTCAGATATTTTCTTTTTTTTTTTTACTGGGTTATAAATCAATTAGGTTGGTTTGAAAATTTCTTCTGAAACAAAAGTTTTGCAAGTGTGATGCTAAGAATTGGGAAGAGTCATAAGCATAAGTTGTAAGTCAAAAGGTGTTATTGACTCTACCGCTTTCAAGAAAATAACACGAAGGACAAGAGGAGTCAATAGCTTTCATTATTTAAAGACACCTTTCCAGGTGGACATTAATGATGTCAATAACTGTAGGTAAAAATAGAAGTTTATCAGTTACTTCATGGCGATATATCAAGCACCACAACCATTTCTCATACATACAATAGGGAGCCACCGACACAGACTTCCATAGCTTTTGACTATGTGTAAAATCGTGGGCTTGTTAAGTCTTGACAAGCATCCACCGAGGGATGAAAGCAAGCAAATTCATAACTCTGCTGAAACTAACGGATATGAAATCACTTTGGTCAATCTCAACTGATGTTTGAAGTTTTGTAAAACTCCCTTTGGCCTGCACAGTAGAAGTCAGTTACATCGTATACAGTGTACAAAACTCCAAAATGCCTTGTAGCTTAACACAGATTGACACTGGCGTGTCAATCACGTGTTTGCTGCAACGTGTGGTTACTCTGCTCTGCCCACAAACTGGGACGACTGCGTGATTCCTCTTCGTTGGGTACTTTCAAACAATATGAGTACCCGACTGAAGTCAAGGTTGTAGTGCTTAATATAAAGCAAAGTTATCCAGGTCTAACAAAGTATTATGTTTAGTTGCTATGGTTATGCAAATGAGATTACTGGGAGACAGATGAACAGGATGGCTAAAGTCCAGTGAAGTGTTACTAAAGGTCTATATACGCTATTTGTGGCATGGTATGAGGGAATATTGTATGAACTTTAGAACAGTCCAAATGTACCATTAAATGAACTGATAATAAGGGCTGATAACTGAACATCATTGTGTGCTTAATGTAGGGATAATTAACTAGTGAACTAAAAAGCTCGTAACATGATAGCTAACTACAGAAAAACGCATTAGTTGGTGTCTAAGAAAGTGGTTAAATGTTAAGAAGCTAAAGCTTGAAATTTTTTGGTTGGTGCTGCTTGACAGATGGGCACGACCGGGTCCGACTATTAATACACAGGGTTATGCTTGCTATCTGCCATGCAGCACTAAGGAAGAACCCCAGGTGAGAAATTTGGTCATGAGTCGAGCTTTTGAGTTTGGGTAAACCTATATGAATCTGATTCCCAAAGATTTAGATGAGTTAAGTTAATGGAAAAACTGTGGGCAGTGCTGAGCAGCTACAACACTGTCATTAGTTAGTGGAGCAGCATGGCAAACGTTGGAAGGGGCAGACAGTACTGCTGTTCTGTGTGCTGTTAATCTATTTAGAAGATACCAATATTGAAGTCTTTATCTTCAGTCATTTGCCATGGATGTGTCTCCACAATCCATATTCTTACATGCCTTTGGGCTAGATCCCATTTACATCACTAACATACATTCTTATTTTACCTTCTTATCTACACAAAGGCATCCAGAATGAAAACAGTGAGTTTGTCTACACTTAAAATACCACTTTCTTTATTGCAGTGCTAGTGGGAAATCCAAGCAAAGGAAGACAAAAACCTCCCCATCCAAACCTAAAATATTGGAAGACTCAGTTTTTGGGTGTGTAGAAGTATTATCCAGCATTAAACTGTTTATTATGAGCCATTATTTTCCTGTGTCAGAAGTATTTGCCGTAAGCGATGGCTCTACTATTTTCCATTGGCTTCACTTCAAATCTTGTATCTGTTATTATGAAAGACCTTAATGGAGGCCCTGAGAGGCTACGTACATCCTGTAACACAACCCCAAAGCTGCAAGATACAATCGAGAACACCAAACAATTTATGTGTAGACTGGCTACACCAGTATCATCCAATACTCAACGAGATGAGGCGGCAACTTTGATTATTGGCTATCTGTTGTCTTCTATGACAATGGTTCTTCTAGGATAGGTGTCAACGTCCACAAATATGTAGCGGACCTCAAATCTTCCTCTTTCAGGATTCTGTAAGGAAAACAATTTCAGGCTCCGTTTTTTTCTCTTCGGTAGTTTAAATTCAAGATTAAGCTTGTCAGCTGTATCAAGCAATTGTACATACCTCTTTCACTTCTACATGGACTGTTCCCCGCTTCCCTGGTTCAGAGCCCTCAATGTAGAACTTCAAACGCATATGTTTCAGTCCATCCTTTACGTATTCAATGTGACTAAAAACAGCAAAACAAAAGAAAAAACCAACCCACCCAGCAAGGATACATATTATATGCTAGTTAAACTTCAAATTTAAACTTCTTCAAATTTAAACTGCATTCAGCTCTGGGGCCCCCAACATAAGGACATGGACCTGTCGGAGCAGGTCCAGAGGAGGGCCACAAAGATGACCAGAGGGCTGGAGCACCTCTCCTACGAAGAAAGGCTGAGAGAGTTGGGGTTGTTCAGCCTGGAGAAGGCTCCAGGGAGACCTTATAGCGGCCTTCCAGTACCTGAAGGGGGCCTACAAGAAAACTGGAGAGGGACTTTTTACAAGGGCATGTAGTGATAGAACAAGGCGTAATGGCTTTAAACTGAATTAGGGTAGATTTAGATTAGATATAAGGAAGAAATTCTTCACTCTGAGGGTGGTGAGGCACTGGAACAGGTTGCCCAGAGAAGTTGTGGGTGCCCCATGCCTGGAAGTGTTCAAGGTCAGGTTGGACGGGGCTTTGAGCAACCTGATCTAGAGGAAGGTGTCCCTGCCTATGGCAGGGGCGTTGGAACTAAATGATCTTTAAGGTCCCTTCCAACCCAAACCATTCTATGATTCTATGATTTAAGGAGCTGCTTAACTATTTTGTGAGAAAGTGTATTCCGATGCAGTCCTTATGCTACCATGGGTTCCTTCTCTACTGCTCTTCCCAAGCTTTACTGTGAGTGTATAAGGAGTAGCGGAGTTAGAAGAAAGAACTAATTAGCAGTTGAGGATTAACACTTGAAGTGCTTAAATGTCCTCACACCAGTCCTCCCCTTAAAACTCAACAGCAATCCAATGGCTGAAGATTCTGGAATTTCCCTGTATTTATTCTAAAGAACCCCCAGATTCAGAGCCTGACATCTAGAAAGGAAAGCCCAAGACTGTCAGGGTTTTTTTTAGGCACTTAAACTAAGTTACCAAGCCAAAACACACAAAGAATGTTTTGTCACCTTAATTATCAGGTTGGTTAAATCACATCAAAACAGTTTATTGTATGCTTTACATATTTTGGCAATAATTTTGTTCTACTGAAGTTGTGTAACTTTGGTGCTGATATCAGATCTCCAACCTAACTGCTGATATTTAGACTGGAGTTAGGTTATGCTCAAATGTTAGATAAATAGAAAGGTCATGTCGCTTTCAAGGTCACCAATTCCAGAAACTAATGGTCAAACTAGAGTTCTGGTGCCAATTTGTTTCCTACTGAAATTACTAACTGCTGCATGCTACCAAGCTCTTATTTCCATCAGTCATGCCCAGATACACACTATGAATTAAACTTCCAATACAGTTTAAGGTGAAATGATGGGTTAGAGAACAAAGATAAATGAAGAGCCTTACTGCAGTAAATTCACATTCAAGGTGTTTATACACAAAAAAAATCTGTAAACTTTAGAGACATTTAAGGTCATCCTTATACTGCAGACACAAATGCTACAATCTTAGAAAGTCCTCAGCTCAAAAGTTTATTTAAAATACTAGACTTTCAAAATGATGGAGATGAAATACTAGGAAAGCTGGTAGTACCTTTAGTTATTTACATAGTTTGTTTTACAGACAGATGCTTAAAACATTTGTGCATATCCTTTTCATTTAGCAGCTCCACTTTAAACACTCTTTCACAGAGTCTGGTAAAAAGACAAACTTCCACCAGTAAAAATCACCTTCCTCTGGGAAAAAAATTCTCAATTTCATGGTTCAAGTTGTGTATCTGGGCTTATGTGTCCCATCCTATATGAAACCTCCTTAAATAAATTCAAGTCAAAGAACCCAATAACGACAAAACCCCTATTGGGTTATAGCGCAGGGAGGATTTACATTTTGTAAGGATTAGTTCTGTTGTTTCCCTCAAAAGGAGAATAATAAATAGACACACTCATGAAAGGTTTAGGTGAGAGACGTTCTGTTAAACACATAGGAGAGATGTGGCCTCAAGTACCAAAAAGCAATATAAGAAATGGGCAGTCAATACTGCATATCAGCTCGGGGCAATAGTCGCTGCAGTGACTACAACCTGTACAGCCAGACCCAGCACAGCTTTAAACAGAGCAAGCTGGATTCTTGAAAGTCTGAAAGTTAGTACCTCCTGCTCTTTCTGGCCTGATAAGAACTACTGCTTCAAAAGGAGAAAAACTCTCAAAGAACATTTTTTTGCAGAACAATTTTACTCTATTTGAGGGTTTCAGACTGTAAACTTCAGTCAGATCCCTGCTCCCCAGATGCATGCCTAGGCCTCTGTACTACTCTCTTCATACTCATCCTATTTTTTGGAGAGACCGGTTCTACGTTTACCATGCTGACCATTGCTTGTTTTGAGGCACTCAGAATTGCCGTTTTATATTGTATGTGCACTGTACTTAGTGGTATGTGCCACACAAAGAGGTACTGCAAAAAACTGCTTTCATTTTCACTCAGAAGTGACAGGGTGCATTACATACAGTTCATTAATCTAGATCTAACTTGCTATGATGTGACCCAAAATGCCTTTGCTGTGCAAAAACTAGTGTCTGTATGGGGCAAACACCAAAGGGCACCTGACAAGCTGTCGTCTTCCTCTTCTTGTTGTCTCCCCATAACCTTTAATAGATTCACCAAAAACACCAATTATCTACAAGAGAAAAGAAGTTTGAGTTGTCAGAAGGTACCGCATTCAAACAGATATTCCAGTATCAGCTCATGCCCCTCCTGTGAGTGCATTTTCTTCCAACGACATGCCCCTTGTCAGTCTGATGTGTCAAGAATAGAAGAGTTTATGAAAGAAAACAATGTAAGGAAAATTCCTCTGTATTTCAGTGCTTTTCTTTACAGTCACATAGTAAATGTCTAAAATAAATCCTAGTAATATCTTCCATTTGTACCGTCCCCTGAGATTATGACATTTTAATCTCTCTTCTTACTGTATATTTTCTACTTTACTGACATTTTGTGTAAAAAGGAAAAAAAAGCATGAAATATCCAAGGCATCTTGTCTCCTCCAAGACAGTATGTTTCAAAGTTTAAAATGCAAATGCACTCCCCTTCACATTATCGAAAAAACACTACTGTTTAAGAAATTAATTTTTTTTTTTTTTCAGATCTATAAAGCCAGACCAAATTAACCTAGTTTTAAACTTTAAAGTTGGTTAGAAAGAGAGGGTGATTTTTACTGTATAAATACTGGAGAGAAGTTTTAATTCTACAAACTTTTTCCAAAGCAGTCTTCATTTTTATTCTAGTGACAACTTGTCACTTCATTTCTAGGTTATCCTCAGTGGCATCTGTGGCAACCTTGTTTGAAAGCTATTCCATGCATTTCTTGTTTTGCCTGAAGTAGTGGTTTTTAAAATCTAGTTTTAGATTGATTTTTGTTTACATCTAGCTATCTTATGTGACTGTGTGATCACATGGCTGTTCTCTTTCTCTTTTCCTGTTAGCCACAGGAATGCTAACCGTGTTTCAAATTAAGAGTTTAAATTCCTGGATACTATGCAGTGCTTTGCAGAATGATGGAACCCTAGTGAAGTGTCACAACAGAAAAACTGTGCTGAGGAAACGCAGGAGGCTAGATCTACAAAACTTAAGCGGGACCAGTTGCCTCCCTGACCAGCAGAACTCCTTAAGGACTACATTTAGTAGGCACTCAGGTATGTCTATAAGACTTTCTGTATGGAGACAGAAGCACATGCTCTGAAAGGGCAGACACTGTTGTTGCATCAGTTGTGCTGTGGTACACTCACTTAACTTGGCTTTTAACAGGCTAATTCACTCAGGCTCAGTGCTTGCATTAACTTGTCCTAATAAAGGCTCCAATTTGGAGCTGACCCACCTCTGGCCAGCTAAAAGCACAGGCAGATCTGCTGGTGTTTGCCTGCTAAGCACCGCGTAGTCTTCCTGTAGATCCGCTTGTGAGATTCCTTGTGCAAACTTTTGACTCAAAGAGAGACAGTAACTACTGAGAAACATAAACTTATGACTAAGGTTCAAAAACCAACCTCAGGGTGAGATCTGCATTTCTCCAGGGCATGTCCATAGATCTTACTTGGACTAGAAGAAGAGAATAGCTCTTTAAAAATCACATAGAACAAACCACCTGTAACAGAAACAACATCAAATGGAATGAAAACTAATCAAATCAGATGGAATTAATGAAAAGCATCTTCTGATAAAAAAATATAATTTTTAAAATTAACCTGTAACACCAATTCCGACAAGCACCACAATAAAATAGGTAAAGTCTCTTCCAGCTTCTTTCACTGAAATAGACAGAAAACAACGCAGGAGTTAAAAACCTGGGTAGGAAGACTTGCATAGCTTTCTTATATAAATGCTCTTCTATTAGTCTGCAGCTCAAGTAACATTTTGGCAGAAGAAAAAATTCCAGCAACAGCTTCCATAATGCCTCATCACTAAAAGAAATAGACCACGGAACGTCTCTGTGCTGGTTTGGGCTGGGAGAGAGTTCATTTTCTTCCTAGTAGCTAGTATGGGGCTATGTTTTGGATTTGTGCTGGAAACAGTGGTGATTAACACAGAGATGTTTTAGTTACTGCTGAGCAGTGCTGACACAGAGTCAAGGCCTCTTCTGCTTCTCACACCACCCCCAGCGAGTAGGCTGGGGGGGCACAAGAAGTTGGGAGGGGACACAGCCGGGACAGCTGACCCCAACTGACCAAAGGAATATCCCACACCATGTGACGTCATGCTCAGCATGTAAAGCTGGGGGAAGAAGGAGGAAGGGGGGGATGACCAGAGTGATAGCATTTGTCTTCCCAAGTAACCGTTCTGCGTGATGGAGCCCTGCTTTCCTGGAGATGGCTGAACACCTGCCTGCCCATGGGAAGGAGTGAATGAATTCCTTGTTTTGCTTTGCTTGCGTGCGCGGCTTTTGCTTTACCTATTAACCTGTCTTTATCTCAACCCACGAGTTTTCTCACCTTTACTCTTCTGATTCTCTTCCCCATCCCACCAGGGGAGAGTGAGCGAGTGGCTGTGTGGTGCTTAGTTGCTGGCTGGGGTTAAACCACGACAGTCTCTTATGCTGTGCAGAGCATATTTATATCTCTGTATTAAGCCTTATTATTTTCTGGTTTCCTACTAGATGTTTTCAAGACTCAGAATAGCACTTACTGCTACTTTTCATGTACATGAGAGCTAGTTGTTTTTAAGAACCAATGAGGTGTATAGCACTGCAGTATTCAAGCTACCATATAAACCCACAATCACTGCAATCCTTACGCAGAGAGAGGGAGAAGTAAAAATAAAAAAGCATAAGCTTATAAATTGCACTGACTGAAAATAACTGATTTTATGAATTCTCAATCAAGTGAGCAATAAAAAGGACGGGTATTAGACCAAAATATGTATGTTATTTATTGAGACCGTTAACTGCAGTTAATCTGATTAGTTTTGATCTAAATGTCAGTATACACTCCAAAAAAAAGTCATGAGATTCTCTGTTACAAAGTATTTTTGAGAACTTGGAAAGAGACTACTGATTTAAGTGATAAGGCATGCCTTTCAGTGAAGTGCAAATTACCAAGGAAACTTTAATAACCATTTTTCCTGCAACCTTCTAATCAGTTGAGGATGTTTTTCATAAACCTTTTCAAAGCACTTAGAATTTCTGAGGCTAATTACGTAGTAACCACTTTTCAGTGAAGTGAATGAGACCAACTAAAGTGACAGCCATCCTATAAAGAAACTAGTACCACAGGTAGAGCTTTTGACAATTTTGCTGGAAGTAAACTTGTTTTAACAGCATCAAGATAGGTTGTGTGATAGGTTTTCCTTCTGAAAATGGAAATGAGAGGCTATTACATCTTATCCCTGATGTGAGCTAAACACTAAATTAACAAGCTGTTTGGAAGAAGTCACAAAATTTCTGTTCTGCTTGTGCAATACACACACTGAAACGTATCAACTGCTGCAAACAATACGGTGTGAAAAGGAAAGAGCTTGTTGGGTTTTCTGAGCATTGTTTGTTTTTCGGTTTTTTTCCCAGTTCCTGAGTTTTGGTGCTCTCAAAACTCAGCAGCTGCAGCAGTAGTTTTCTCCGTGCCAGCCTCTGAGCAATGCCCAGTATTTGCACTCACGAGCGACCACAGCCCGTCTTACCTTTCTGCGCAGCCGACAGCAGAGTTTCTTCTTTCCGATCCCTTTGCACGGACACAGGTTTGCTATTATCGCCAGGTTTTTCAGATCTCGGCCCCCCCGCTTGCGTCCCGAGACTCTGCCGGGCGGCCCGGAGCAGCGGGGCGGGCTCCCCGAGGGGGAGCTGGTGCCGGCATCTCCGGCAGGGCCCCGG